GTATATATAATAATATCAGGAGTGAATAATAGAGATGTTATACTTTATTGCTCGATGCAGGGACGCGCTATAAGTGAGTCCTCCCCCAAGCCTCTAAACCTCTCAAATAAACAGTCGCCGGTGAAGTTTATACAGATTCTTGTGATAACTGTGTCATTGTCTGAACGTTGAATGATGAATTTGTCCGTTGATAATGCCAATAACGTGAATCGTGAATTTATTAAACGAGGTGTCTAGCGCAACACTCGCAATTTTGCTAGCGCTCACAGCACATAGAATCCCTTAGTGTTGTTAGTTGGCTAGAACTAATGAGTGTCGCATGCGCATTTATTTTCTATAAAATATTAATATCATCATAAGCACCTCTGGTAGATCTGCTATACAGTTTTACAGCCTATAGAAATGTGCAATGGGGGAGCTGTGCTCGTACGTTGAGGTATCGCCTTTCGCCGTTATCTTTCAAGACTTGTTGCTCAAAGCTAAGCCAAAGTTCGATTAAGGCCAGTAGATATATCTTACTATACGTATATGATATATTTTACGCATATATATTTACGCATATATATACGCATATATATTTACGCATATATATTTTACGTATATATATATAGTACATGATATATACTATACGCATACGATATATTTTTGCGTAAGTTGAGATTAATGGAAGAGTCTATTTGTCGCGGGCGCATATATATATATACAGGGTAAACATATGCAGGTTGTCTTATCTGTGTGTGTGCGTGCGTGCGTGCCTGTGTACATGTGTGTAAGTGTGTACTGTTCGTTACCTCAAACTTTTCCACGTTGTTAACCTAAGGTAGAAGGAGTGGTTAGATGGTGAATCTGCAGCTTGCATTGCATAATCCCAAGATTTTTTTTATTATGTTATGGTTATGGTTATGGTTATGGTTATGGTTATGGTTGGTTGGTTGGTTGGTTGGTTGGTGAGTATGGTTATTATGTTATAGTTATGGTTTTACTATGTACTCTTGATAATCCGGAGAATCCGGGCCGCGAACATATTATGTGATTTGTTGGAAAATGTCGTTGGAACAAATTGTTTGGGACTTCACCTGAAAGTGTGCGTTTGTTTGTTTGCGCGCGCGCGTGTGTGTGTGTGTATGTATGTATGCATGTATGTATATAGAGTGTGCCATGTAAAATATTACTATCATTTGTAATTGTAACATTTATGTTTTATACCGAAAGCGGGTGTTAGGGTAGTTTTGCTGCCAGTGACCTTTGGCGGTCTTTAACCTGAGACGAAGTAGATCATCAAGTGTGTTATCTCGGTGTATAATGTTCTGTCCAGTAGATAGCAGGCAAGATGATTAGTAAACATACTGACACATTTTGCTGACTGCATCGTAGGCTCTCTATTTTTCACAATTTCCAACTACTAAACTACTAAACTACTAAACTACAAGTGTTTGTGAAATAGCAATTGCTATCAATGAATGTTCGGTACAAATACAGATAAAGGTTAGTAACACTATAAAATAAAATTGTATTTTTTAGTGCGTACTTAATGCACCTTGTTGTAACCGCATGCTAACTGTGTGATGGGAGATATATGTGTTATATTTTACCGTAGGTATATTGTGTTAGGTTATGGTATCAGGCGCTTTCATATTCTTTCTCTAACGTGTTGTCCGATAAACGCTAGAAAAGGGAGTTGATAATGGCTAATATCATGCACCCATCTATATGCCCATATGTATAAATAGTTCTAGTATAAATAGTTGTTGAATAGGAGCATAAATATCCACATGATCCAAATGTCCATTATTTGCTCTTGGCACTAGTAACATTATAAGCCGCGTTCACACGTAGCAAGAAATCCGGTATTTAGCGTTCACACGAGGCAAAATGCGCGGTCCAAGAAATACGGTATCTAAACAGATCCGGTATTTGATGTAAATACGCGGCTTCCCAGACCCCGAATAATTTTCCGTGCTTGAGAAATACCGGATCTCTTGGACCGCGCATTTTGCCTCGTGGGAACGCTAAATACCGGATTTCTTGCTACGTGTGAACGCGGCTT